AAAATTTTCTAATAAAATGATGAAAATTATGTTGTGAAATTTGTATCGCAAAAATAGTAAATGCTAATGAAATAATTGGATTAAAAAAAAAAAATGCGTGTTGCACGTCTTTTTTTAAGATTCATGTTTAACGTATTTTTAACTATTTTCGATATCTATTTGGACTATTCGATATGCCCATAATGTAGTTATCGAAATAAGTTATGAGATGATATAAGTAATTTGTAGATTCGATTAGCGTACGATGGTCGGAGAATTTTTAAAATTAGCATGTTACTGAAATTCAAACTTATTATGATTTTACCCTTATTTGGTGGAGATTAAAATCAAAATTTTAATAAATTTTGATAAAAATTAAACAGTTATCGATTCCATGAAATATGTTATTAAAATAATTTTTAACTTTGATTTAGATTAAAATTTAAATTTCAATCGATACCAAACACGATTTTATATAAAAAAAAAAAATCTCAAAAGTTGCGGGCACTTGCCTCCCTAGGACCTCCTTAGGTCCGCCCATGATCAGATATGCATAAACAAAACTGAAACAAATTCATGTTAAATAATTTTGTCAAATAGCATGCAAACAGAATATAAATATACAACAAGATCCATCTTAAAATTGTTGGATAAATTGATGCATGAATTATATTCTATTAATAAAAAATACATGCATGCAAATACGATAAAATTGTAACATATTGGTGCAAAATACCGGATGCGTTTCAACTTACCGAATTCAAGATACATGCATAAATGTATGCAAAATAACGACTTACTGACATTTAAAAAAATGTAGAAATTCGAAGGAAATGAAACGAAGCGAGGTATGTGAATGAAATATCCTTAAGACGAATTTCATCCCCTATATTGATACTAAAATGATCAAATTGACATCTGTCTCCTAAGCTACAAATGCTTCTTCCAAACTTAATATAAAATGATATTAATTTTGTCGGGCGAATCAACGCTTGACTATAGTCTTCTAGAACAAAAGATATTGAATACTAGACA